TGCCCCATGCATCATTGTGCTCCTCTGTTTCTCTCTCTCTCTCCTCCAAAAAAGCAGAATTTTAGAGAGAGAAAACAAAACAAAGCAACCTTAATTACACTTATAACCCAGCGTTTTGAATCCCTTTCCTTCTTCTCAAAAGATTCAACCCTTTTCTTTTCATTTCTTCTTACCCTTCTTCAAAAACAGAGTTTCTCAATTAAAAAACAGAGCTATTTTTTTTAAAAAAAAACTCATCAAAAATGGCGTACCCTCCTTAAATCAAAAACCCCATCTCCAAATTCACTCAAAAATCCAAACTTTTTCCACCCAAAAAACTCAAAATTCAAAATCCAAAAATGGGGTGTTGTGTATCAAGAATTGACAGACAAGAAATGGTATCAAGATGCAGAGCAAGAAAACGATACATGAAACAATTAGTTGAAGCTAGATTATTCCTTTCTTCTTCCCATTCTTTTTACCTTCGTTCGCTTCGTTCAACCGGCTCCACCCTCCTCCAATTTTCCACCGGAGAATCCTCTCTCCTCCACCACCACCACCACTACCACAACCGCCGTGAAATCCCACCGTCGCCACCACCTCTACCGCCGCTCCCACCAACACTACCACCGCCACCATCGATGTCACCAAGCACCGATACATGGACAACAACCACTTCAAACACAACTAACGCCTCAGCACTTCCTCCTCCGCCGCCGGTTTCCGGTTCCACGTGGGATTTCTGGGACCCTTTTGATCCGTCATCGGGTCCGAGGAGTGGGACCGAGGAAGAGGAGTGGGAGGAGGCGGCTGGTACTACTACAATTTCCGCGACTAATACTACTAATGTTACGGTGACTCCGATGAGAGCGGCGGCGAATGTGGCTGCGCCGCCGTCTGTGGTTAGTGGGTTCTCGAAAGAGAGTGAGATGGTCGTGGTTGTTTCGAGACAAGGGAAAGAATTGGTGGAGATTATTAAGGAATTGGATGAGTACTTCTTAAGAGCTGCTGATGCTGCTAGTGTTGTTAATGGGGTTTTAGAGGTTCATACCTTTTCTAATATCCCTACTTCTTCTACTAATTATCATCAATTAAACTCCTCAGGTATTTACTTTTTTTTGAAATGATTTCATGTAATTTGTTAATTGTTTCGATGATAAAATGTAATCAATTTTTTGATTTGTAGGGAAAATGTGTAATAATGGGAGGAGTTTAAGTTCGAGTTTGAGTTCGAGTTGGAGCCCAATGGTATGGGGTTCAAGTGGTAAGTTAAATGGGTTAGGATGTGGTAAGTTATTAGGAGATGATATAATGGTTGGAAGAATGGGAATGGTTAATAATGTCAATGGTAGTAGTCATTGTTCTACTATTGAGAGACTCTATGCTTGGGAGAAGAAACTCTTCCATGAAGTCAAGGTAGTATTCTAGTCAATTCTCTAATTTTCGTGTAGTCGCGATTTGATCTCAGGTGTTAGATACCACGTACTCCTCCCGAGACGTATTATATTGATGAGATTTGAATTTATTGATTGGATCAGAATGCGGAGAAAATAAAGATGGAGCATGAGAAAAGGGTCGAACAACTAAGGAGATTGGAGGTGAAAAGAGCAGATTATTTTAAAACAGAGAAAACAAAGAAAGAAGTGGAGAAATTAGAGTCACAAATAGAGGTTGCTACTCAAGCCATTCAAACAACTTCTAATGAGATCATCAAATTAAGGGAAACTGAGCTTTACCCTCAACTCCTTGACATTGTTAAAGGGTATATTTTCTTACTAATTTATTTTTCTAATTAACAAATTTATTATTATTATTATTTAGTGATGATTTTAATTCAATTAGCCTAAAAATAGGAATATGATCTAATTATGCATAAATTTGGAATGTATGATCACATGTTTTAGGCAGAGATAGTGCCAATGTTAATTGTGATTCACGTGCACTATGTTGTCCTTGGTTGATTGTCATTTTGCTTGATTAATGCTAAAGTACTACCTTTCCACCATTGATCTCAATTGGTATAAGTTTTACGTTTTTTAAAATTTGAATAGTTGATGATAAATGTCACATGGTATGCTTAAATGGTTGATGAATCTAATTTGAGATTCCGGGATTAGGACTTTGAGAGGAATCCAAGTATGATACCATATTGTATTAGCACCAAAAAACGTTACATTGTTAGCAATGACTACCTCCTCGGCTACAACCCATTTAATTCTCGACTCTTGAATGATTGCATTTGGATTACTAATGAGATTATTCCTTTAGATTAGAGACTTTGATTATACTTTGCTAATCTTTGCGTGCTGCTCATGCTACTAATCATGCTACTAATCAATTAACAATGATTTAGAAGCAAGAGTAATAAAGCAATAGTTCTCTAAGTAACCTTTTTTCTTTACAGTTTTATGTTTTTTGTAAAGATTTAAAAATTAGTGAAAAAAAAACAAGTGTGGGTTTCCTTTGAGTGAAAAGGCAGAGATGATTTTTACCATAAATAGTAATGTTGCGATTAATTTGGAACAACTTAAAAAGAAAAATGGAGCAATTAATTCGATGAGGTCAACTATTTTGAAAATTTTCAAGGGCAGAAGAAGATATGCTATTGTTCATTACTTACCACAGTAGGTTAGTACTAACAGATCCCATGCTGAAGAAAGAGATACTTTGATTTTAAGACTTTTGACTGCCTTTACTACTTTCACTTTTTACTACTAAGACTTGAATTGACCCACTTTTCGCATATAATCCAAAATATACTCCGTTTTTTCCGTACTTAGGAAAATTAAAACAAACAAAATTAGGTTTGAATACGTAAGATTGTTATAAAACACATCTTTGAGATTTAAATAGTAAAAAAAAAAAAAAAAGTAGTCCGTACTATAATTGAGTTGTATATAACTATATAAGTATATTGGTGCAGCGTGCAGTCTTATATAGTACTCCGTATGGGTTGGAATTGGACCATTCTGTAAAAAAAACACAAAAATTTAATGAAACTTTACTGGTTTATGTTGCACTTTTGCATAATATTGAGGTGTTGTAGTATCTGTTTTTGTTCTTTATATCCGGACTTCTGATGTGTAAAGGATGAAATGGATCTTACTCTTTGGAGAAACGTGGTCTGACTTGTCCACATGCATCATGGTCTAGTCTTTTTCGCAATTTTATGCCCCCGTCGTTGGATGAACTTCTGATTCGACGATGGGGTTGAAGTTGAACTCCGACCATTGTTTTCTCTAATTATACATGAATTAGATGGAGATTTAGGAAAATACTTGCGTCGTAATTGAATAGTCTTAATTTAAGCGTGATTAACATTTCAAAGCATTCTTTGTTTTAGTTCTTTTCAAGTTTTAGCACTTATGCCATGTACACTGATTCTCGTGGTTGTATTCAGTAATAGGTATTTATGTCATGCTTGCATAAAGTATCGACTATTAGGTAATGTTGTGATTTTTGTGTTTGGGATAGTTTGTTTCGAGGTTTAGAGGGTCCTTTAAAGTTACATTCAGAGAGAATGGTTTCCAGTTTAGCTCCTTTGCCTTGATCAATGCTCCTATTTTAGTCTCTTTGATCCACATGCTAATAATTTTAGTTTTTTTTTTTTTTTGGATGATGTTTAGGTTTATGTGCATGTGGAGGAGCATGTACGAATGTCACCAAGTCCAAATGCACATCGTTGATCAGCTGAAGTTCCTCAATGCCATACCATCTAACGAACCCACATCTGAGATCCATCGCCAGTCAACATTGCAACTTGAGGTGGAGCTCCAACAATGGCATCAATCCTTTTGCAGTGTAGTAAAAGCTCAACGTGACTACATCCGTTCTCTCACTGGGTGGCTTCGTTTGAGCCTCTTTCAGTTCAACAAAAACCCACTAATGAGGTCAATCCAAGACTCCACAATCTACTCCCTTTGTGAACAATGGCAGCTTGAAATTGATAATGTCCCTGACAAAGTGGCGTCGGAGGGAATCAAAAGCTTGTGGACTGTGATCCATGCCATTGTGATTCAACAAGCTGAAGAGCTTAAACAGAAGAAGAGATCAGAGACAGCCAATAAGCAACTCGAGAAAAGGGCAATCGAGCTAAGGACATTAGAGGCAAAGTATGGACCATACTCAATGCCTGAGATGTCAAGTTCAAGAAAGGGACGGAACCCTGTAGGAGAAAAACGAGCAAAAGTGGACATGTTGAAAGCCAAGGCAGAAGAAGAGAAAGCTAAGCATGAAAAGGCAGTTAGTGTATCTAGGGCCATGACACTAAACAACATGCAGATGGGGCTTCCCCATGTTTTTCAGGCAATGACAGGCTTCTCAAGCGTCTGTAAGCAAGCTTTCGAGAAGGTATACAACGAGGCCAAAAATATGGATCAAGATCTCGATGTCAAAAGGTTGATGATGGCGTAGAAGCTGAAGCTGACTCAGGGACACCATTAAAACCAAGTTCTAGGTGACCTTTTTTTACCCCCTTAATCTTCCCCCAGCCCCGTCTTCCCCCTTTGTATAGCTCCATCTTAGCATTAGGAGGATGTTTTAGTTGATCAAATGAAAAGCTTTAGTATTAGCAGATTGGAGACCTATCTAGTATTTACTGCTTTTTAGAATTTTAGATGTTTAAACTTAGTATTATCATTATGTATTTAAATCAAGTTTTAGTAAAATTTTGAGTGCTTTGAGCAATAACAAACACTAGCAGCAGTACAGAATCTTACTGCATAACAGTGAATCTGTCAGATTTGTAAATTGCACCGTTTTAAAAAGCAATTGATTAGTACCAACAAATTTATACAACACTAACTTTCTGGTAAGAGCAGAACTTTTGTGTTTTCTCGTGAATATACACGTTCCATGCACTACGGCACTACCCAACCGCCCTCGCTTTTCATATTTCTCCAGTTATTCCATCTAATTATACTGAAAAGAATGAAGTAAAAGTTGCCACAGGCAAAAAAAAAAAAAAAAAAAAAAAAAACAGCTAAAGAATGCATTCAAATTTTCAATGCCATCATGGTGCTAGTCTCCTACATGTGAGGAGAAAATGTTTATCTATAGTTTCTACGAATACCACTTTCTCGTTCATCCACCTCATTTATCTCATCGCGTGAACTTTATTCACTATATAGACCCTATCAATGGTATCGGGCTGACTCTAGTTCTTCAAAAGGAAAAAAAAAAAAAAAAAATCTATTCATGTTCATGTCAAATATGAACCTCGAAGCATGCAAGTGCTAAGTGCTAGACTGCTAGCCATTGGTTGAATTATTCCTATGTGCTGTAGTTTTGTGTAAATCTCGGCTATATACTAACCATAGTTCGGTGTAAGCCATGGCTAAGTACTTGACTGTATGTATATCAGCAAGGCTGCTAGCTAGCTTATCCCTAAGAACTAGAGGGTACTTTGCACTTACCCTGTAACCACATCAGTCGCTTATCAGCTTTCAGTGACAAAAACATCTCCCTTGCTCCTGGATTATTAAAAAGATCAAGAGCACCGAAGTAGACTTGTTCATCAATTTCACCCAACTCATCCAAAGCATTTACGCACTTGGATATGGTATATCTCTGACTGCATTGCTGAATTGCTTCTGCCCTCATTCTTGCTGCAGCTGCCATCTCGAATATAGCATCAGCCATAACATCCTCAAGCCCCTTCCGTCCTCTCTTGCGGTTGATTGGGTTAGGGGTTTCAACACATAGAGACTTCTCTTTCTCATTCGCCACACAAGCCACTTCCTCTGATTCTGCTGAGCAGTCCTCTGTGACGTTGCTCACAGGATCTAGACCTCCTTTTTCAGCTAATCCATTACTCTTTTCATTTTTGATAGATTCGGAAAATAATATGTATAATTGCTTATAGATTGGACAGCCAGTAGCTCTCAAAGTATCAGCATCAGGATGTTCCTGCACATTAACAGGATTCCATCATTCACAAAATGATAACTTGCATTGCACTTTACTCATACAATGTTAGAATTTGAAAAACATAAACTTCTTTTTAATTTGTAAACAAGTCACAAGACCCTAGTAGAACTGATATAAGGAAATATGAACAACATCAATTCCTAATTCAGACTAACATATAGACAATAGTAGATCAACAGAAAAGCACGCGTCTAGGGATACTAACAGAAGGGGAAGGAGAGGGAGACAAAACACCAACCCAATAGTTTAACCAAAGTCGGGATTCAGTTATACCAACAGAGGCTAATGAATACTCGTTTTGTCCATCTTTACATTACATAAACAATGTGAGAAATTCTGACAAGACTGTAAATCCTTCCGAGATTGAAGGATGTACCTCTACGCACTTCTGCACTACTCTACTGCCAACGAGAACCTTCAAGTGGTAAGGAGGCCAGGAAGGTAGGGATCGGAGTCAACTTATAATGCATGATTTAATCCAGCTAATATATCAATACATCTAACTCTCTAAGCCAACATTTGAAGATATTTCTTGGCCAGTAAACTTGAAGTATGAAGTTATACCTTAATGTACTGATCCCATGCTTCATCTTTAGCCGTAATAGCACCAGTATTTTCATCCCAACAGAAGCCCTCTTGATCAAGAAGTGACTTCACAGTAGCATACATCTTCTTCAAGACGGAACACCGATACTTCAGCTGCTCTCTATCCCATCTCAAGCCAGTTCTCCTGTAAAACTCATCACACATATACTTCCACTTATTGCCCACCGAAATCTTCTGATTGTTCCTCTGATTATTCTGATCAACCATCAAATCAACTAGCACCTTAGTAAGGGACATTGTCCACTTTGCTCTTCCCGGCTGTTCATGCTGCGCAGATGACAGCCTCCCTGATCGTGTGGCCGGGCTAGACATATAGAATTTCGAATTGGGTGTCGAAGGGTGACTACCGAGTTAAGACCCGACACAGGCACCATCACAAGAAATGTTAGCAACACTTGACATGCTCAATCAGTCAGTGTACAATACTACATGGCTACACCTATTGTTGTATCAAAAGTGCAACATAAACCATGATATTCCTAGTGTCTCATCCATGCGTCAAAAATAAACCATGTTCATTGGGACAGAACATCCTAAAGACCGTGAAAAAACAAACGTTGCAATTATTAAAGACTAGAGGGCATAGACGTGTAGTATTATAACTACTGTAATACTACGTATTTTAATAAACCTAGGGTAGATTATTTTAAACACCGTGAAAAAGCAAATGTTTTCTTTTTGTGCATCTTGCATTTTCCATCTAAAAAGCTGATAATCAGGTGAAATTTTTACAAAAAAAAACTCGTACAGCAGGAATTACGTACACAATTATAAAACACATTCACAACAGAAAAAGAAAAAAAAAAAAAAAAAAAAAAAAAACCCAAACACAATTCAAACAGAAATTCTTATCTGATAAAATCAGAAATTTTGATTTTTGCAATGAATAGGAAATTCTGGCCATAAAGTGATCACGGTGAATTTAACTCAAACAAAATGTAGGATTGAGATTCTTCGAAAATGTTTATTTTTTTATTTTTTATTTTTGGCGTAGTAATTAACAGAAGATGTATAGATTATGTTATGTAAATGCAAATTTGAGGGAAATTAAGAAGTTTTTTTGGGTAAAGAACGAACCTGTGAAATTGACAATGGAAACCACACTATTTGTTCTGTTCATCAGCCTTTTGGCACCAAGCGAGCGATCAAGCAAAAAGAGAAAGGGTATTTTAAAATAATTTTTTTTATAAAATGAGGGTAAAATAGGGTTAAAAGCTGTTAAAAAGGAAAAATTAAAAGCTACAATGTTAGGCCAAAACCTATACCCAAATTATTTCTTATACTAGTATTAGTTGTAATTAGTTGATTAGTTAATACTTAATGTGTGTTTTTTTCACCTTAAACATATCAATACACTCAACCGAGTACTTCTACAATTACAATACGAAGTAACACGAGATTGAAACCCAAAAGTATTTTTTTTTTTGGTGTTTCACCCGGTTCACCCTTTGGGCTAATTCGGATTTGAGGCTCAAATTTGGGTGGTTAGGTTTCAGTCTCTTACTCCCCTCTCAATTGATGTTGTGGGAGATTGAACACACGGTCCTTCCTACCAAATACAGTCCCAATTACCACTACACCAACAACCAATTGGTTGAAACCCAACAGTATGGTTGTATACTTGTATGGTGTTATTGCTATGGGGTTGGAAAACTAGAAATCATTTTTAAAAGAGTTCAAGAAATAATGGGTTTGTAGTATACATGAGCGGGCAAACATTAATACACAAGATGGCACGCGCACCACATGTTTGAAAGTGGTCACCAAGAATTACTAGTCAAATTTCTAAGCGAGCCAGGCCATAAATAAGGAAGCATACTCCAAATAGTGTTAAACAATGTCCGATTTTGTGATGGTTCACAAGTTGTTTAGGGTTAAGCGGAGTTGGGTGAACCTTCAACTCAAAGCATCAACCAAGCCATTGCACCATTGATGCGCTTAGCAAACAGATGGAAACGTAATTTAAGTAACCGAGAAAAAATTAGTCTCACTTCTTCCCTTTTACCTGTAGGTGATTTACGAATGCATCTTTAACACAGGACCAAGATGTTGACATAGTTTTTCTGACTATGAGGGGACTTATAGTTCACTTTGCAGCAAAATAGCATTATAATTACATGCTGCATTATTTCCAAAACATGGCTTCATCAAACATATCAATCGCAGCCGATTCTAATTAGCATCACATCATTTTTCATGCAAGCTCATCATCTGCATAAGTTATGGATCACAGATGTATACAAGAGTCGTCAAAACGTGACTCCGATCAGATCAAGATAATACTCACTTTATATACAGCTTATAATACAATACTCCATAAATTTCTCAGTCCCTCTAGGGCGCTGACCGATATTCGACCAGATCCCCCCAAAATCCATACGAGGGGGACTTACTAATGACCTGCTTCCTCGAGACCAAAACATAAGTTGCAATGCTTCCGGAATTTCCCTCATAGAGAGCAATGCTTCACTTGAAGCTTTGCAATGAGACTCTTCCTCCGGATATGATCATTCAAAATTGATTGCAATATGAGCTGACGAAAGAAACAGCAAATAATGGCAGTAAAATTCTGACTTCCTCAGGTGCAACTGTGCAACCATGAAATAATAATTACCATTCTTCAATGTCATCATCAGTTAAGTCACTAGCTTGATTTCGGGGATTCGTCTGATCAAGTTCATCAACTTCAAGTGAATAATCTTGTACTAAGCTTTTGTTAGCATTAGCACAGTTTAAAGGCAAAGATGCTCTATAACCAAGCCATTTAAGTGCCGGCCTATAATCAGTGCAGATAACAGAAACATTGGACAAGCCTATACTATAACAATGGTCAAGCCTTTGCCTCTCCATCTCATGCTGCCATGACAAAATTGAGAATTGATTAATACAGTTACAGCAATAAGCTCTATTTAGGACATAAGAAAACAGATAAGGCTCCAAAAAGAAGCCGCTATGGCCCTACAGATTCTAAATTCTAATATCATTATATCAATATATCATGAAAGTGAAGGACGTCCAAGAAATTTATTAAGTACCATTATAAGAAAGAATTCTGCCATTTTCTTACATAAAAGCCTCACTCTTCTACTACAAGATGGCAAGATAATGAGGTGCTAAAAAGCCATAGAAAAAGTAATACGATTATTGTTGACCACCAGATTCCAACAGATTGAGTTATAATTCCATCATAATCCACAGCTTATATGAAGAAAAATGAATCAATAGCTTTTGGTTTCATGGCTACTAATCATACCAAGTAAGGAGTATATGTTACAGACCAAAAAGCTTAAAAAAAAAAAAAAAGAGGTGGGGGTGGGCGAACTTCCAAATATACCAAAACAATACCATGATGAATAGAACTCACCATATTGCGCCTTGTTGATTTCTCTGCCTGCCAAAGATTAGGGCGACGTATAGAGTGCCACCTATCAAACACAAAGGTAATTGGCACATAGCTCAGTAGATGTATTAATGGCAGCCTGCACGAAAATGTAATAAGCAATACATAACATGATTGTCACACCTGGAAGGGGAAGGATGAGCATTTCCAAAGAGCATCCCACGCACAGCTACTGAGGCAGCAGCTGATTGAATAACATTCTCTGCTTCATAATTTCTAGCCAAAGTTCGATGAACTGAGGAAAGAAGGCAGTCAGCATCACTCAAATATGATGCCACAGTCCATGCATCTTCAATTGCTTCCTGACTGAGAAAATCTAAAACTGCGAGAAAAGGTGCAAGAAAAAAAAACTTACTGTTAGAAAAGAATTTGGGTGCCATCCATTAAGGATTAGCTAATAACTAACCTTGACTGCTCAAAGTTTTCAAGACATTGACATTTGAGCATCTATTCTATGCAGACACATAGCATAATTCACAATTATGATTCTCAATACAAACTTCAGTAGACCTAATGCATTTACAGAAATATCTCCTGGAAGCAGAAATCACCTGTTTCAGTAGCACTTAATCATGTAAGTTATTTAGGAGTGAGTGTGTGGGACTCCTGAGCTTCCTGGGATGCTACTCCACATCCTGAGCTGAAGCTAGGAAAATGATTCTCACACACATTTAGTATTTCAACTTACATTTTATTTTTTCCAGGGCTTCAGTTTTACTCCATAATTCAAATTCTGTGTAAGCAGCTTATACTCCTATATTTAAAACATCACTTCCGCAATACAAGATATTAATTTCAAACAACCAAAATTTAGCCAATAATAAGCTGGAAAAAAGAAAAAAGAAAAAGAAAAAAAAAAAAAAAAAAAGGGTCCATTAACATTAGAAGAACCCATTAGCAAAACAAAAACGTACCAACAAATTCATGTAGCAACTAATCTCAAACTATTGCAAAAGCATGGGAAGAAAGAAAAAGGTGTTTGGTGATGGATAAATCTCCATAAGCACGGAAATAAAATATTTCACAAGTCCTAGAATAACCACAAATTACGAAGCACTGGTTTATTATTCAAAAAACGCACCATTTTCATGCAGAAATTCAGCTACTGGCCTTGCTTGCCCATATGCTTGACAAAGAACCTTTTCTGGGGCATCCATCTTCAAAGGTAATCTTGTAAATTCTTCTTTCAGATGAAATCCATCTTCACCTACAAATTAACAATTATTGCAAACATGGATCAGGATTGCTTTCTTATAAGAGTGTTTTAAAAAAACAAAACCAACAACAACAAACATTTCTTCCTCCTTCAACCCTTCGTTTTGTAGTTGTTTCGAGGGCTTTTTTTTTGTGGGGGGGGAGGGGGGGTGGAGTTTGAACGCAGGAAAACTAAAATTTGAATATAAAGAGATGTTTATAGAGCAATTATACTAAAAATATCCTTCAGAAAGCATTAAAACAGGCCTGTAAAGAAGCTCCAACCTTCGGTAAAGAAGACCAAGTTAACTTTTGTAATAACCAAATGTTTGTTTGTAATTAAACCCCATCCAATATGCACAATTGCAAACTCACAATGAAAAATAGACACAAGCAGTTAGCGCCATTTTTATTTTGTCCATTGTAATTAATAAGACAAAATCTCCAAAGGAATAAAAAAGAAAAAGAAAGAGCTGTAATTTACAGCAGTTAGTGGCATTATGATTTGATTAGATGAAAAAAGAATAATTACACACACTAACAGGCTGTAGGCAGATTATCATCTTGAACTCGAAGGGTTGAAGTCCATAGAAAATAGTTACGAAGATCTCTCAAGATGTGCCCCAGTAAGCTCTTAAACATCCTTTGCACAGCACAACCGTCCCCCAGCAACCCAACTCCAACCAAAGGTAGAAAGAAAAAAAAAAAAAAAAACCATGATAAAAACACTTAAGGAGAGGTCTTGGGCAGTAGCAAATTTCAATTATCAATTTGTGTGGTTGCTACTATCTGCACTTAGTTGCACATCATATTTTAAGCAGCAACAGGCAAACAAACACAACTTCAGCTGTAATTGATGCTTACAATGTGACATGGTACATTCAGCGTCTCTTTTGTTGTGTAAAAACTTCCCAAGGCCGTGAAATAAAGATAGTGTTTGATCCCTGCCATATACCAGAGATGATTCAACATCCTTTTGACCATGATCATGAGCCATAACTTCTAAATCAGAGGTGCATTTCTCAGAAGCTACAAGAATCTTTTTCTCTTGTCTCAGACCAGCATACTGCAAAGTCGTGATAGCATGTCTGATATCACCTCCACTTGCATTGGCTATCAAATCTAACTGCTCACGGCTTATGTTGCAATTTTCTTGTCTACAAATTCTGGAAAGCACCTTCTTAATTGAATTTACTGTTATTGGATTGAAAGCCATCTGAAAATTTTAGCAGAAATAACATATAAAATTCAAACATTGCCTGAGTTATTACCCCACCCCCCTAACCCTATCCTCCAAGAAAATAGAGAGATACAGTTCAGAAACGGAAACCTTGCAGGCGCCAGCACCCTCTAAAGATGAAGAAAGTTCTTCCCAAAAGCGCATGCCAGCATCACCAGAGTCAGCTACACTATAATCAGTAATCAAAATCAATGTCGGTACTTGTACTGATTTAACAAGAAGTTGCAGGCAACCGAGAAGTCTTTCTTGAGCAACTCTTCCATTTGCTACGGGAAGATCTTCTATCAAGAGTACCATGGGCTGCCTTGACCTATTAAGGGATGATGAAAGCATCCCATACTTCCTAGCTCGCTCCAAAAAAATTTCAAACTCATCCAACTTAGATGTGTAACGTACCCCTAGAAGTAGATAAGTAACGTGTTAGATGCTTAACAATAGAATCACAAATGCAGCAGTAGCATGTCAAACACTCCATACAACACAAGTACTTGAATACCCAAGTCCACCTTTCAAAACT